AAAGTAAATTAATTAATTAATTATAGGGGTATAAAGTGTAAATTTAAAATTATAATTATAATTATGAGTGTATGTAAGGAGAGGAAGGGTTGAAAAAGTGAAAAAGTAATTATAAAGGGTATTTTGGTCATTTAAAATTTTAAGACTTTAAGACTTTTGCTAAATTTGCTTAATAAGATAGTATAGACAAAATATATAGTATATATATAAATAAATAACTATAAAAGTATAAATCGTAAATATTAAAAATATTTTTTCACAGTATATATAATAATATAATTAAGAAAAAAAAATTATTCAATATTGGACTCATTTCGAAGGTATTAACGAGACGATTATAATGGTGTAACTTGTTAAAATAAAATTGTATTTTTAAACATGTTTTAATTGATATACGATTATGTATGTTAATTTGATAAAGATTTAAAATGAAACATTTAAAAGTAAATGACGTAAAGTAAATTAATTAATTAATTAATTATATGGTATAAAGTATAAATTTAAAATTATAATTATGAGTGTATGTGAGGGGGTGAGTGTATGTGAAGAGAGGAGGTGATGAAAAGGTGAAAAAGTGAGTATAAAGGGTATTTTGGTCGTTTAAAATTTTAATACTTTAAGACTTTTGCTAAATTTGTTTTAAAAAATAGTATAAATTATGCATTTAGCAATATATAATGATACAATTAACATTACCTTTTGGAGGCTCCATCACAACAAAAATTATCCAAAATCCTATTTAAAAACGGGGACTTAAAAAACATCAAATTGGTGGACTTGGTATAAAAAAACATATTTCATTGTTACTAAGTCATTTTAAATGTGATATTTATACTTATTTAAAAATTATCCATATGAAATCTAGTTAAAATAATATATGATATATATAGAGAGAGAAAGATTTGGGATCATGTGAGACTAAATGTTTTTCGTGAGTCCTGTAAGATCAATTCTCAATCCTTGGATTAGATTTACAATATGGACATTTATAATCACAAAATTGTCACGAAACTTTTCAATAATCACAAAATTGCTACCGTGCAACTTTAAACCATTAGATTATTAGCTTATAAAGTTGATCAATAAACATAAATTGGTCTTACGGATAGCACGAAAAACCTTTGGTCTCACGTGAACCCAACCCTATATATATATTATAAATTTTACATTACAATTTTTTATTTACAATTTAAGTATTATTCAATTCGAAATAAATGTTAAAAAAACCTAATAATATTAAAGGAAAAATCTAAAAGGGTAAAAAAATAAAGAATAAAAGTGGGCCAGTCTGGTTTTGCCGTATGAACAGGGCCACACTGTATTTGGCATTTTTTTTTTTCTCCTTCACTGACCGGCAAAAGTTTTATAGAGATGTTGTCGTATTAGAGTTCCATCACGGGCAAAAATTAGGTTTTAC